CACCTTTCAACTGATTGTGTATGTGAACTCCATAGGGAAACAATCATGGGGTTATTAATTAAATCCTTAATATCCGAAGATGTAAAATTGCATGTCAAAAGTGGTTCTGTTATATAATTGCTCCAGTCTATCAAACTAAAAAAAATTTTGGCAAAAATGTTAATATCTGGTGTTCTTCGATGTTTATGGCTATAAAAACCAGAATTAGTTTGCTCGTGATACTTTTCACAAAACTTAAGAATGATTTCCATAGCTTAAACTCTTTCTACTTTACTCTCACTGCATATCATAGCTTGTAAAATAGGTTTTGAATGTGCATACCAAGCTGATCTTTTAATTGCTGGCATTACAATATCAAGAACTATTTCCTCCAGCTTCTGAGGAGTTCTAATTGGAATAAAACGTGTCTTGATCCCTCAACTCAGCATGATTTAACTTTTATGTTAAAATAGATTGGAATATAAACACCAACAATGAACTCGACATGTAAGATTTTGAAGGTTGATACCATATAAACTATGCAGAAAAATTCATATCCTGAAAAATCTTAATGTTGTTGAAAGCCACCTGTTATGACAAACAGATTCTATTTCTAGCATTGCTGTTTGCTCAGATAAATCACCAGGCCTTATTGCTTTTGTAATTCTGTAAGCTTAGCTCTGATCAGTAATTAGACCTTATATTACTTCAGGGCTAAGAACAATTAATGCACTCCAAACATCAACTTTTGAAAATCTGGGATTAATTTCAAGGCTTGTTGGTGTATTTAACATATTTCCTAATAGTCTTGACCACTTATTTTCACATTTTGTTGGAATGTCTAAGCTTATAACTAAATTTCTTAACCTTAACTCGTTTGTGTGAAAATTGCACACAATCCACAACAATCTCTATATGTAAAAACTTGCAATTAGCTCTTTTCCATTGCGCAGATAAAGCTAGAGTCTTAAAAGTTTAATTTTTAAACTTAGCAAATTGAAAAGATAAAATCCTAAAAAAATGTAGCTACCGACTAATTTTATTTATTTTTAAAAGTATTACTCACTTTCACTTATGAAATCCTACCATAACTACTCTATAAATTTTTTTTTTGTTGAAAATATATGGTTTTAGTCGTCAATTTGAAACACCCTCATCCTTAGTAATCGATAACGATATAATTTTTTTATGTTTGTAAGTTACATAAATACGTACATAAAAACATATTTGTTATACGTACATAAAAACAAAAAAAAAAATCTTTTTTTTTTAGTATGATAACCCCATTCTTAAAGAAATCATTAGTAACCTGTATGTCGGTAACAAATAAATATGAACTGAGGACAGATAAAAGTGACCAACAAAATATTTTAAATAAAAACTACTAATGTTACTAGTTTACATACCTTGCATAAACTAATGAATATTCTAGCAGATGCACCAACTGAGTGTATGCATAGGTTTAGTAAGATCAGGATAAAAATATGGGAGAAAGTTTTAAATGGCTAATAAAGCCGACATAAATTAATTCACAAAATTAATCAAATACATTTATTTTTTTTCATTCAAAGCTCATTAAAAGCCACCAAACCTGTTTAACAAGACTAATAAATGGAAAGCATCGCCATGAAAACTTTCTTTTTTTTAAACTGATCCAAAACTATAAATAGGTTTTCTCTCAGCTAAAAGCTTCCTAAAATTTCTATATGTATTAAATGGTATAAAAATTTCTCTAAGATCAACTATAAAATACAACTTTTTCTATTATTTTCATCCTTTCTATTAGAATATTATCATAAATACTTGTCTTCAATTTGAGAAATTTGTTATTCTTTCAACAAACTCTGACTTTTATGTTTGCCTGACAGAGTTAAGAAATGTGGTGTTTTATCAGAGACCACAGCTTTCAGCTAATTATCTGCTTTTGAGCATGGCTAAATGTTTGAACATTATCAAATATACATCATTGTTTTTAACAAATATTCATGTTTTTCTATATAAAACAGATTTTTTCAATTCTGTTACATTTATATACAAATGCTAAACTTAAAGAAAATTGTTCTGTCAATAATTTTTGACTCATAACATATTCATGTATTTAGTTTAATTTAGATAGAGAAGCGATTGGTAAAGTCAAGTGCTATAAGCCACTAATAAATTATAGTGATAGCTTAAAACTATTTTTTTATAAAAAGCTGCAATATTCTACTATTTAAAGGTGTTCTAATATTACTTTAACTATAATGTCATTAAACTTGGTACCACCAAACAGTTAAACTGTAATAGTCAATTTTATGATTTAAAAATAGTTTTATTAGGAGATCAATAGTCTGTCTATTTAAAAAAGGTAAGCATTGAATAAAAAATCAAAGAAGTTATTGTGCACGGTCTTAGTTTCCTTAATATGGAAGAAAGCCTTAAACTTCTCAATAACAGGTCTAATTATTTTTTATTGGCAACCATTAAAGTTAAAGCTTTGTCCAAGCCACAAATTTTAATTAGTTATTGTTTTTTTATAGGTTTATACTTATAATGTTACAACACCCATACATAGTTCTGCTAAATGTGTTTATGAAGGAATGCTAAATAAGTTAAGAAAAACTGATTCACAAATGGAGGCTATTCAAGATGATTTGATTGCAAGAAAGCTGTTCTTTTTGTTTTGTCACGAAGATGTGACAAAATATTATAAATATTATAAATATATAAATATTATATTATAAATGCCATAATATTACTTGTTCTGATTTAATGCAACTTTCAGTTAAATTTGACTTATTTAAGAAATATGTTGAAAATGTTGGTCTAGAATTAAAATTTGTAAATTTAAAACAAAAATTTAAATAAATGTTAACTGACATTTTCGGTTAACAATTTTGAGGCAGAACAAGCAAAATCAAGATCTTTACTGAGCTTGTTTATCAAGAATCGTAAGATTTATTTAATAATTGTTTTACTACTTTCAATTTTTTTTAACTTGTATGAAAGATACGCTTTACTAATAATATTATACTGATTTTGTTTAAGATTAGTTATTATAATTAATTTAAGTGGCTTAAAGAAAAGTTGTCCACACCCCAACAGTTGTTTAAAGCATTCGTAAGATACTAAATATATAATTATTTGAAATTTACAGTGTACAACCCTAGGTAGTTAATTTTATTTTTTTTAAATTTATAAGAAAACCAAATACTGCGTTTGATAACTTCAATATTCTTTAATATTACACATTTTAAAACACCTTGATATTGACTGATGACATTTGTTTTTTACTTGAACAATGTCCGAGGTAATAAGTAAATACGACGTGATAAATTAGGTACAAACGAACAAATTTGTGATTAAAACATCTATGGTTTTCATGATTACTTTTTGACAATGCTTACAAGAGCATCTTTTTGAAAAGTTGTGTTAGTACCAACAATTACTTAATAATGATGATAGTAATTTTTTTTTCTCAACCATAGGTGTACGAAGATGTTCGTCGATGTACCATAATGGTAAGAGCGTTTAAAATACAATATCAATTTGGCGGCAATGTAACTTGGTTTAAACTTTAAGTTTGTTTATAATAGATCAGGAGAAAGAAACTATATTGGTGAAATTTCTAGAAAATGGATTCCTGAACAATTTTGTGAAATATAGAAAAATTTAAAGAGGTTATTGTAAAACGCTTTAGCAAACAACTTTTGAAACAGTTATAGAAGCTATTAATCCAATGGGACTCGATTTAAAAAAAAAATTTAAATAGTTAACTAAAAAGAGTTTTGTTTTGTATAGTTGTACATTACTTCCTAATCTTTAATTTATTCTGCATTTATTTTTGAGTATTTTGAACCGTAAAAACAAGATGAAATAGTTTTATTTTTTTACTCTGCTTACTTTTGTTTACCGATAAACAAAGTAATTTTTTTAAATGTTTATTGTTTTCATTTGTAGTACTTTCTATTTTCAAAATTATAGTTTCAACTTTTTTTTACTAGTTCCGTATTTCACACAACTTAATTTTATAAGATCTTTCATCTCTTGCAAATCTTACCACGAAATCATACTATAGCTAATAAATTTTATTAAGAACTTCTATTTCTTTCTAATCTTATCAAGAATGTTGAGCTATTACTTTCATATTTTGTCATATTTTGCATCTTTAGTCACATTGTTTTTTAGATTATGTAGGCATGTTTTAGTTTCTCCAATAAGACATGTCACATGTTGTGGAAATTGTTGAGTTTGGCATGCCAACACTTTTGAAGATTCAGTTTGGCACTTATGTGCCGTATTAAAGCTAAGTAATGTTGGCTTTTATGCTGGTGTTGCCAAATGCTGACATTGATTTTAAGTACTTTACATTATAGGTAAAAACAAGTATTTATTGTTTAGAATGATTTTGGCACAAATGTTTTTTCGCTTGCACCGTCTTTTATACTCTTTTTTAATATGTCTATACTCTTGAATTGAGTAACTTAATACTTCATTTAGGTTTTTCCTGGATTCATGTCTATTGTTATTGTTCCTTCAAAGTTGACATCTTCTCAAAATTATTGAGTTTGTTATTATAACACACTAGTTGCAATTAAATCTTTTAAAACTTGTAAGCAGTAATATTTGTCATTTTGCTGCCTAATGCGTTTTTTTTACTTGTCAAACTAATTACCCCAATTAGTTTTAAAACAATCTTAAGTTTTTTTTATATATTCGGAAACTAAATGGAAAACATTTTCACAATGGTCTAGGTTCAACTTTAAATCAATTTTTATTCTCAATTGTGTGTAAATGCTCATCCATCTATGAGAAGTCCAAAATACTAGATATAAAACTATGTTTCCTAGATTTACAATAATATATCAGTTTATACCATTCATTTTAATATTTGCAACTATTTGCAAGATATTATGCTTTTAGAATAACTGATCTTTTTATATAAACAAATTACTTTATATAATTACAAACTATCTATTTGTTTATCACAGAAATATGTTTTAAGTATTTAACGGTATGTGGAAATATAGATTTTTAGATTTTATCTGTATCTGATTATAAGCTTCATAAAAAAGAAAAACAGTTTGAACAGTAAAAAAACAGGTATTGCTGAAAGTAATCAAGAGCATGGTCAAAAAGAATCTTTTGAAAAAGCAAAGACCTTTGTAGGAAAAGACAAAACTATGGTAAATCTACTTTTAATTTACTTTTCATGTTTTTTAAAGTTTTTTTATAAATTGACTATATTAAGTAGTGAGTAATACATGTTGTTCACATGTATAACGTGTTATGATAAATGTTATTTACATGCTCTTTAAAATCTGGTTTAATAGAAAGTAATTACATTAAAAGCTCAACAAACAACATTCTTTAGGAAGCTGATGATAAACTTGTTGTTGCTAAAATTATTCAAGAGCATGTTGTACAAGTAACCAAAATCTTCTAATAATACAAGTTCTCTTTCGACAAAATATGAATGTCAAATAAATTTAATTATAGTTTTCTCTTCATAATCTTACAATTTTTTATTATTGATCTACTGCATTTACAAATTTAAAGTGATCATTTAGTGTAAAATGAAGTTTCTAGTGTAAATAAATATTGTAAATAATATCTCAAATTATTTATTGAGATATTAATTTTGTTATCTCAAACTATTTATAGAGATATTAACAAAAATCCTTTTTTAATACTATGCCATTTCTTCAAGGAAATTTTGGTAAATGTAGTCAAAACGAAACGGTTTTGTTTAACATAAAAAATGTTTCTACTTTGAAAACAATTATTATTTTAGTAATTTAAAGAACTTTAACAATTTAAATCTTCACATTTAGTATTGTTAAAATAAAAGCTACTACTACTGTAATTTTTTTTTAAATTCTGCTGTTATATATAAATATTACTAATTGATAATGTTGCTGAACAAATTTAATTATTAATAAATACCCATTTGGGTATAGAAAAAAATCATCATACTATAAAGTTGTGATAATACCTTATAAAAATACTTTTTTTTATATACAATTGAAAAAATTCTTTTTAGGGGATTATGTGAAATTACAAATATGTTTGTTTTTGCTATTGTATGTGAATAACAATAAATTATATCTTTTAAAATAAAATTGAAAAGAATTATTTTCTAGAAACAGAAAATAATGCTTTTTATAAAAATAGAAAATTAAGATGGTTTTTTATCAAAAATTTATTTAGTTATTAAAATGAACAAAAAAGAAAAGTTTCTTTATAAGTTAGGTATCAAAAAAAAAAAAAAAAAATGTTAAGTGCTGTTAAAATGTATGCTGTTTAGAATGCTATTTTGCTTATATTTGCAGTGGTGTTTCAAGTCAATTAGAAGAACTTTAAGTAAAAATAACTGCCCTAAACCCATATTTTATAGAAAGACCTTTTTGTTGATAAGTCTTCAGTGACTTAAAACTTTTCTATTTCTTCTTATTTAAGTATTAAGGAGCTCCAAGAAGAACTAACGATCTTTTCCTAGCTCACCGTAAAAAAGCATTTTTCCAGCGGTTCACAACTCCTTCTCATCCAATAGTGATTACTGGGCTAGAACCAGCATCGAAACTCCTGGTTCTCAGCTAGAATTCAATTCAATGCGCCAAGACTGCCTAATATTTTAAGCCACCTAAAAAGTAACTATAAATAAGGTATCATCTTAATCCTGCAATTAGTTCTAAAAAATCAAGTGATTCTGTGAAATGTTTGTCCGAATATCAGTCCCGAAATGTCTTGCGCTTCTAAAAAAAATACTAATTTAGAACAAACTTCGCGGTATTAACTGCATTCAAATCTCATAAAAGTACGTTTTCTTTTTTAAATCAATAACTAACTGCGGAAAACTAAATTCAAACGTTTAAAAGCATACCTCATTTTTGATAATTTAAAGCTATTTTAAAAATAATTTTAATGATAATTACATTGTTTAACAAACTTGGCCTTCTTTCTTATACACAAAAATAAAATCTTAATTTAATATTTTAATATTAATTTAAGATTTAATATTAATTATATCTTAATAAATATTTGCCGTTTTAGTAAAAAAATAGTTGTCAACCAGGGTAAACCATGACTATTGTTGTAAATGAAGACAAGTTCCTGGATGAATTTTTCCTGTCAACAGTTATGATGCTGGGAAAATTTGTTTGCTGATGGATGGAAAACGAGTAAAAAATTGACCTTAAACATAAAACTTCACATTAAAAAGTCACAAAACAATTTAAAAAAAAGTTGCTTTAGAACAATAAAAAAACGAGTCATACACAAAAGACCTGCAAATTCTTTCGGCCGTACGTTGCCAGGATAGCAAAACACACCCTTGCATGATGAACATACAAAATAGTTAGTTCGTAACAGTTTTCACAAATATTTTGCTACTCCAATATCCAAAGCAGAATTCTAGAAACCTTTGAATATTTTAGTGCTTCAAAATGGTGAGTTGCTTAACATGTTTAGTGGCAAAAGAATAGATATTTTGACGTGGTCAAAAAATCAGACGTAAAAATGTTTGTGACCAAGTTAAGGTTTTTGCTAGAAAAAGGTGTCTGATTTAAGATTTGAGTGTAAAACGGCTTATCTTCAAAGATGATGCTGCATCAATACACCAGCGAATCTTTCTTAGCGTTGAAGCATAGTTTTTCTTCGACGGTATAACGCTTAATTTGACGAAATCTCAAGAAATATAAATACGGTTTATCTTCAACGATGCAGTGCACATACTTTTCATCGTTGTCAATGCTATCAACGAATGCACTTACACGTTGTCAATGCTATCAACGATTCTTTAATCATGGAAATACTGAAACATAATATGGTCTAACCATATGAATGGATACTAATGAAGGGTTTAGAAAATGTACTTAAAACACCTGATCTTGTAACTCAAAAATTTAAGCTCGAAGATCACACCAACACACTTTGTCTACTTTTGGAAACTGTTATAAAAATAGTTCAATGATCGATATCTTCAAAGGTCTTCTTTTGCTGAAGATATTAAAAAATTTATTGAAACAAGAGAAAAGTCTTGACGAGTAATCCATTCTTTTGTGAAGCAGTTTTAAGAGACTTTCTATATCAATGTTTTGCAACCAATTTCTTAACGAAAAAAAGGTTGGTATTACTACTTATCGAGTATTTAGAAGTTAGTTAATCATATCAATTTAAAAAATACAATTTATAATACTATAATAATAATTTATATAATAGTAATAATAATAATAATAACAATAACAGCAATAATAATAATAATACCACCAATAATAATAATAATTAAAAATACTCTATTTAAACTTCCATTATTATACTTACATTTTTAGGTTTGAATCCTTCGATTAATAGTTTAAAATTAGTTATTTAGAAAAAAGATTTTTTAAATGGGGCAAGTTTTTAAATGACGATAAAAATCAAAAGTTTATTTTGTCTCTATTTCAATTTCAGGAAATTGCTGAAGATACTCTTCGGTTTGTTCAAATGAAACTTGAAAAGCAAAGTTTTGGATTTAATACATTTAAGGAAGTTAGTGAAAATATTTGTACTGGGGATTAGATAAACATCTAATCTTAAGATCTGACTCAAAAAATGAAATTTCTTAAGCGAATGAAACATGAAAAGAAAGAAAAAAGCCAGTTTATTCCAGATATCACTCAAAAAAAAAAAGGAGTTTAAGTTTTAAAAATCCTCTTTGAAGTCTCCCAAAATTGGTGTTAATCTGCTAAATAAACCTAAAAAAATAACGTTCAAATATGTCAAAGAGAACATAAAACATTTCCCATCTATAATTCAAACAGCATGTAAAATTGTGTTCTGCTTCAAAAAAAAAGCCAGTTTTAAAGAACAATTTCTCTTTTATAAAATTTAAATAGTTGCCTAAAATCAACTCAAAAACATGTAGCCGCGCCAAAGCCATGCCGGAGCAGTACATTTTCTCGGAACCCGAGCCAAGCCATAAAAAATCACACAGCTCCACAAACCCGTCCGCAACCATTAAGTACGCTAAACCTTATATCCGCAATGTGCAATAATGAATAAAAAATTAATATGATTTTTTCACTGACGTGATTGTTAGAAAGGGTAAAATAATATATTTTTGGAAAGTGCGCTACCACTGCGCCACGCTGCTTCACAGATTGTTTTAAAAGTAACGCGCTTTTTTTATTATGTTGTTGAATTGTAAAGAATTTGTTTTATCAAAATTAAAATAGTAATATTCTATTTAAATCGGTCAATAACTTAGGGTGGAATGCAAGAAGCGAACTTGAGTCAAGCTTGAGTTGAACTTTAAATTTCAACTAATAGCGACAGAGTATGGGTTTTCCCCTCAAAAAAACTCTGCCGCTATTGGTTACAAAGAAAAGCTGACGTCGAACTTGACTCGAAATTGATAAAATAATAATCTAAGGTATTACTTGGCAATGTTAATCTTATCCCCTGCAAATAATAACGGGTTATACATAAGTCTTCGAACTTTTTTTGAAACTGATTTAAATAAGGAGAGTAATTTTCAACCTTCAACTTGTTGTTTATTTTGAAGATTAAACATTAATGTATTTAAATTACTTTTAATTTTTATCTAGACTTCTATACCAAAAAAATGACAAGGTTTGATTGAGAAGCCCTCGCAAAACGAATTGTAACGTTCTATGAAAATCGTTCGTTTCAAGTGATAAAAAGAAATTAACATATAAACATTTTAAAAATGAAGGAATACTGAAGTCAACTATATTTAGTATTCTTGCAAGGTATGAGAAGTATGGTGTGTAGAATGATTTGGTTAGATCAGGTTGTCCTCCAAAAATTGAATAGTTAAAAGTCAAACGATCGACTAAAATGCTAAATAATTCAACTGGTATTAGTCAAAAGTATTTAGCTTCATATTTTAAGGTGAACCAAAGCACAATTTCAAGAACTATTAATTTCAAAACAGATATTAAATGCTAGAAAAAACAAAAAGCACCTTTGTATGAAAAAGATCAACAACAAAGAGCAGCAACATCATCGAGAAGATTAGTTAATAAAGTATTTTATGAAAAAGATATAATCATGGATGACGAAATATATTTTAACCTATCAAACTCAAATATACCTGGAAATGATATATATTATACAAATAATAAATTGTTAGCCCCTAATAATGTAAAATATAAGTTGAAAAAAAATTCTAAGAAAAGGTATT